TCTGCACGAATGTAATTCTCTACTCTACATTCAGGATATTTGAAGTTACAAAATCGTACGAAAGAAAATTTCCGAAATCTCAATTTAACTTGTATTACATCCGCGGCCTCGTTTAACGCGTTACGTGGACAACCATTGTGAAAAAAAGGAACGAGTCCTCTTCCTTCCGGTTTCCGAAACGAAACCAGGGCCGCCATTCGCGCGTGTTAGACATCGTGTCCAAATCATCGTTCACCGATTACGACGTAATATTCATTCGTTCCAGCCCTAAATGGATTCTCGAAATGGTGGTCAATAAAAAAAGGAAAAAAGAACTAGAGGAGATTTATCTCTCTCGGTCACAGGATCGGTTATTCACCGATCGTGCTTGCAAGCGGCAATATTGCCAGTTCGATGACGGAACAAAGACCCGGAAAAAAACTGTCGAGAAAACGAGACTGCGAATAGGGGAAAGGGGATCGGGAAACTGCGTCAGGAACGGGATACTAATGATGCCAATTCCGCGGGTTCTTTTGGAATTTCTAACGAAGCTAGCTTGTGGGGATGAATATCTATTTAGCCGGGTTTTTCTTTGGGAAATTCCACGTGTCAATTGTGGTGGTCCATGGTATAGTTTAAGAGTGAATTTTCTTCGCTGAGTTAGGTCAGATTGTGATTGAGATTCTTTTGCGATTCTCTAATTAATTTGTGGAGGACATTCATTTCTTTTGGAAATGTTTTTAATGAAATTTTAAACGCAGTTTCCTTAAGATACCGAGACCATTTTTAATATAGAATGGGAGATCGGTGATTCCCAGGTCACCAGAAATAAAACTTTTATCAGGGTAGGTATTAATTAAAATCTAATTTAAATCGCGAAATAAGAAGAGAAGTTCGACTCCAGCGCAAGTTCTCCAATGATAAAAGGAATCCCTTCGCTCGAATATTCATTGTGCTACCATCGTGGCCACAGATTTCGTCAAACACAAAATTTCCAGCGAGACTGGTCAATTGGTACCGTCAAAGTAACTCACAAAGTAGTTGCTTTTATTTACGAAACTGCATCGACCACTTTCACGAAGAACCTTCACGGGGACATCATTCCAGAGAACGAGGTAGTACATAGCGAGAAATTGATAGCGATCGTGGCTGTAGGAATAAAAAAGCGAGGAAACCGGAGGAAGAGCGATGCGAGGAGATTGCAGAACGTGGATAAAAAACAGAGAAGGATGCAGCAGCGGAGAGTGGGAAAAAGTAGGTGACAAGAAACACGAGGAAGAGAAACAGCGTTGAAAAGAGTACAAAAAAAAAAAAACGAAAAGAGTTGCAAGAAAGAGCTGCATAAAAAAAAAAGAGAAAATCAGGCGAAGCGGAGGTGGAACGAAAAGGGTTGAAAGAGAGAGAGAGATAGGGCGAGTGGAGGGAGGTGAGGAACGGTGACAGGGATGCAGGCTCGACAACAGCGGCGCAATAGGGCGAAGGTTAAAGAGAGCTGGCCGATTCCGCAATCGCTTGGCCAACTTCCAATTTCACGACTCGCTTTTTACTGGCCGGACGCGCTGCGACGCGCCAGCAAAACATTGCAACGTGGATACCACGGGTGGCCAGCAGAGGCGCTACCCCTAGTATCTGGCAATCGCCTCGAAATACAACGCTTCTCCGCGCGCACTTCCGGTGAACAGTTGATCCTGAGTGAAGATAACCGAACGTAGAATCAATAACTCGCGGAGGATTCGGGCGCGATTTTCGGGATGATAGAGGAACACTGGATCGATTTATTTCGTGTCGCTGTTTCACTTCTTGTTGCTCTTGTATAGCGGAAGTAGACCAACGGGGATTGTTGGTTTAGATATCACGGAGAAATTTGTAGATCTTTGTTTTATTCGGATCAGACGAAGATGATTTTTCTTCTGTTTCGATTTCATTTCTTTTACTTCGGAGGCTTCGCTGCTGCTTTGCAGACACCACCTTACCCATTAATAATAAGAGCAATATTAAAGCTAATTAAGCGGCACGTTCGAATATCCGAAATGTACGAAATATTCGACACGTTCAGGAATTCAAACATCTAGAATATTCGAATTATCCTAATTATTCGAATAGTTCAATTATTCCAAGTTGAAATCCGAATATTCAAATGCCATTCGAATATCATTGGAATACCAGTAGGATACCATTCGAATGTTATTCGAATATACGAATACCAGTACACTCTGTCCAATTTAAGAATAACCTCGCTCTAGGACCGATTTTCGTCCGTTCTGCGCAGTTCCCGCAGTTAGATAGAGAGCGTAGCAGAGGGTAAGACGGAGAAAAACGTAGGCGGTTACACGTGGGGGTTTGGACGTTCTAGCCCTGCCTTAGGCACGTCCCATGCGCGAAGCGAGGTTATTCTTAAATTGGATAGAGTGTAGAATATCGTTCAAATATTCGAATACACCGAATATTCAGATTTTCGTAACAGCCCTAGCAGAGAGGGTGGTGATAATTAGAAATCGAAGGAAACTTTCTCCAACGCTGTGAAGGTTCATGGGAAGCATAGACCTTAAACTTTCGATACTGCCAGCCATAAACCCTTTGGCTGCCAAATGTTTTCCTATGTTCCTTCACGGTTTAACATCTTCTTCTCTGCTGGCTGACAGACAGCAGAGAAGTGTTAATTCTCTCTACCTCACATCACAAGCCATTGAAACTATTCAAATTCTCCCCTAAAATACCCAAGAATCTGTCATCTTAATCTCCTCTTCTGCTACTTATCCCGCTCCACCGCTCGTAGCAACGGCGCTGTAAGAAAATCCACTGGCTATCCTCCCATCTAGGGATCAGTCTATAAATTCAGACGGAGCCAGAAGTAATTCCGGGCCGATCAACGACGGAAAAAGTCGCGCGTACTCGTTGGAATAAGGCGCCTCGAACGTGGCGCGAGTTTGTTAGGTGGATTAGCGGATTATCGCGTCGACTGCCGATAAGTCAGTGGTGCCACGACGACGGAAAGGCTTTCCCTATAATTAGATTCGCCGTTGTCTTCTTCATCGACAATTTCTCGATTCCTACGCTCTTTCTTCTCGTCTATCGTGTTGTCTATTAACCCTACCGCAATCGTTGGAAGCGCGTACAAGAGAATAATAGGGATATTTGAATTTCGCGGCTCGAAAATGTGGGAACGAGAACAAGAGACGAAAAACGAGGCTGTCGTTTCTGTGTCGTTAATTTTGCACGCGTCGCGGTTTCGGTTCCGCGCCGCGGCGAGGCTAGACTCCCTTTTTCACTCTCCCCCACGTCCCCTGTATAACGTTGTTTCGCGATCGTTAGTCTTCCAAGTCAAGGGTAATAATAGTAATCACACGGCTACTAACGATTTTATGATAATAGTAATTTTTGTATGGATGGATGTTTCGATACTGCCCTCGCACTGTGCCTGTGGCAGCTATAGGCGCTTTGAATATTTTCTCACGCTATGTCCTTGGCGCTTTTCGACACACTTTTACCTTAATTTAATCCTTAATTTTTGTCCTTTGCGCATTTCCACCTTAATTTAGTAAAACAAATTTTAAATTTTAATTTTCAATATTTTTAAACTAATTTTTAAAAAATTGTATTAGTTTAGAAACATTACAATAGGACGCATGATTTGCACTTCGTAATCTTCGAACCCGCAGACAGAAGCTAGAATTACAAATAAAAATTAAACTCTACCCCAAAATTTTCACTTAAGATATTCAATTTTTACCAGCAATGTACCGCAGAATAAATCGCAGCAGCTTTGACGCACCAAACCAGATGCACACAGTTCAACTGTTTGGCCGGCTTGGTAAAACGGCCTTAAATTTGTACAGCATCTGTGAAATTCGCGTAACGCGTTCCATCAATCGAATAAATCAACCGAGCGCGTGGGCAACAGAGAGAAATTCAGAAAAAAAGGTAACGCTTCAGAAGAGATACGTCATAAATTGACTTATCTCGACATCGGTCGCCATATCGTGTGGCAAAAATACAGAAAAAAAAAAAGCAACAACTACCCGTCTCTGCCGTGTAAATGTAAATCGGCCTTTTGTTGACGTACGAGCATTAAAAATGCATAGAATAACAAGGGCGATACGTCTTTTTGCATTTAAAATGTCCGGAAGCGGTTCTCGATAAATTGCACCGGGGGACATTTTACATGTAAATAGCGTCGGGTGAGGAGGGGATGGAAAAGGGTGGTGGGACAACGAAATTAGGGCCAGCAACGCGATCAAAGTCAGCTTGAACAACAACGCACGACGAAACTATGGCATTAAAATCAATTTGCATTTCACTCCTCCCACTTTCGTTAGCGACTCAACGACAACGTGGCAATATTTCTCGATGGGAAAAAGCAAATTACGTTCTGCTCGTATAAAATGTACAGTCGGAAGAAGAGAATGTTCCTGCGACATTTAAGAAAAACGATTACTGTCACGCTGATACTGTACGATAAGTGTGCGATACCAGGCCGTGAAACCTCGAATTTTTAATTTTAAAAAATTGCATATTCGCAATGAGACGAATTTCGAAAGAACACTTGTACAACACTTGAGTGCAACGAGAGACTGTACCAAAAAATGTAAAGCCATTTCGTTCGACGTGCAAACAGGCTTTTTCCACCGGAAGAATTCGATTAATCTCTGCACCTTTTACACTCAGTTCCGGAAGTGAACACAGGTTACCATGCCCGTCAGCCAGAGCATAAACAGAGTTAGAACACGTTCGCGTTCCTTCCACTCCGTACATTAAGCGAAATAACGAAATTGCAATCTTATTTTACGGCGAAAATACACGAGTCTTCTCCTACCGAACTTCCGTGGATCGAATTAAAGTTCTCGTTCGTGTCGCGACATTCGAAATTAGAATTCCATTTGTACTTACGACGTGCGACAGAACGAAAATTCGTGAGGTTCGATCGTTATCGTTCGCTATGCAAACTAACGAGACGTTCCCTCCTTTTTTCCTCCTTCTTTCCTTCTCTTCTACGCGGATAGGCGAACGCGTTCGATGCTCACCTGGTTACGTTGATCTGATCGGCGATCTCGACTGTTCCTAGGTTTCGATATCCGGCGAACAGCATGTCGTTGTCCATTAAACCGGAGCCACGACCGTCGATGGTCGCGTAAATGATGCTCTTGTTCGTTACAAGGTACGTGCCCCAGTCGACGTTGAACTTCTCCGTGACCTGATACGAATCTGGTCCGCCATATCTATAGAGCAGAATCGGTAATAAATTACAACGACCGGTTGGAGGATCGTTACTGCGTGGTACAGTGTAATGGCCAGGCAATCTTGGCTTGTAGTGTAGTTTGCTTCAGAAATAGAAGCATAAATTTATGAATAAGTGGTAGCTGCATGCAGTGATTTATCGAATATACTTGAGTTCTGAAGTATAGGTTCATTCAGAGATGGAAGAATAAGTTTGTCAAGAAATAACAGTAGCATGTAGTGATTTGTTGGATATACTTGGGTTGTGAAGTACAGGTTGTTGTAAAAATGCAAGCATAATTTTGTGAAACATATAGAAAAAGTTTTTGGAACTTATATGTAAATGATTGGGTTGGATATTATTCCAGCATTCTGCTAATAAGATATTCTGAAATGTAAGACTGATAGATATTCTACTGTAATTTGGTACTACTGTGAGGTACAAATACTATTGAAATTATTAAGTCAATTGTGTACTTTTGAATAATTGAGTTAGTTGATAATATAATATAACGGGGGAGCTGTGTGGGCATGTTTGTAAAATGTGCTTAATCTGTCATATCATACAATACATATCATATAATGTTACTATGATTCCTAACTTTCAATGTATTAACGGAGTGAAACGCGATATTCGTTCATACAAGTGAAATTTAATTCTCTGATTGATATTTCGAGCGTATAATTTTATCGCGATGGGATTACATTGTCCATCTTTATTAAAACGAATTATCCACTTTATCTGGTATTTTGATCCTTCTTCTTGTTTTATTAATTTCCGCCCCTCCACCGAGCTAATAAATTTCGTATGATGGAATTTATCGAGACAGATCACCGTTGCTAAATTTGCAATGAGTGTACTCGTACCTGGTGCGTGGCTCGAGCAATTATAGAACAATTCCACTCGAACAAACCAAGGAATGCCTAACTCAATTTCCCGCCTTTAATTCAATTATCCAATCTAGCCGGGTGTTTTTATTTATACGCAACCTAATCCGTTCGCGAACGAGTTCCGTTCTATAATCCAATTTCCGAAACTCGAATGAACGTACACGCCAGATCGAATCGAACTCGATCAAATTTGCCAATTATCCCACTGATGACAATTCACTCTAAATTCCGCCTAGCTTTTTTTTTCGACCGATTCCATCCTACATCCTCTTGAAACAACTAACCCAACTACAAATTCAACGAGAGATTGTTCTCAAAAGAAGAACCAATTCAGCTGTTTACTTTTCAATTTAAATTCCTCGATTAATTCTAGACGAACCTGTACAAGAATTCGTTAAAAAACAAAAGATGTATGCGAGAATCGAACGAATGAATTTCACGAGGATATTCCGGAATTTCGTGACACATTTTGACAGCATATACGGTGGCAAAAAGTTTTTGATAAATGACACGTTTGCGGGTGACACCGTCGCGTATTCTCCTCCCGCTTTTTTCTCTTGTAGTTCGCCGCGAATAATTCCTATCCGTTCTGAAGACATTAAAGCGGCATTCATGCCGGCGCATACAGTTAGCATTTGCATGTCGCGAGAAAAGCAACGAAACGGACAAATGAACGGAGGTACACACGTCCGGGGAAATCAAGCTCGATTTTAAACGATTTTCATTCGCATGGAGGAGAGAAGTCTCGCGATTTTCATTCGCATGGAGGAGAGAAGTCTCGCAATTTTCGATCGCCTTCTGAATGCATAACTTCACGTACGATTGATACGAGAAGGAGGAGGATGATGTATACGTACACGAAAATCAGCATGGGATACTTGGTTGCGCCTGACAAATCTGCGTTCGGTGGAATCAGTAATCTGACTCGGGCCTCGAATCCACCGGGAACTGGTACCTTGTAGCGGCGTACCACCGGTTGCGATTTCTCCGTGATGATCTCCGATACGGCCTCGTTATCCTCCCATACTACCAGCTTCGCCGTGTTCTGAAAGAGGCACGATCTGTTAAATGTGACATTTTTTTATTTTGGATTTTTCATAGGAGTTTCATTTTTCATTCGTTTGTTTGTGTTGCGACCTCGTGGTCGCAGCGATGCCTCGATTTGGTGGATTATCGCAATAAAATATTGCAAGGGGTTTTGGTACGAAAGAGTGAACGCGAGAGAGTTGGTGTGAATGGCCTGGAAAGGAAGAATCGATCGTGCGTGGCGCATTTGTTATGTTTAGACAACATGGGTTGTCAAGCCGATTGCGGCGTGTGTGTATGTGGATGCGTGCGTTGGAGAAAAGGAAGAAGAGCGTGTGTGGGAAGAAGACAAGTAGCTTCGAGCCGGAAGAGAGCGAATCGGAGCAGCGGTGAGGATAATAAAAGGGAAGATTATAAGTGGACAGCACCGGCGACGCGTGGGACTACTTTTATTCAAATAAACACAAGAGTAATTAACCAAATCCCACAACATGTTAATCACATTTGGCCGCCATGAACACCCCTTGCACTAGTCAGCGCCGCGAACAGAGCATTGTCTTTAACCCGGACCGAACACGCGGTTAACAGACAAGACGAACAGACAAGACGAACAGACTTGGAAAAACCTTTCTGGCCATAAAGAGTACCGTTTTTGGGGATCGAATTTTTTGTTAACAAATTGGATCTCGCAGAAAGAACCTTAAACCAGGACCACTCTTAAGCTACAGTGACTAATGACAACACAGACATCCATTCCAACGCACATACAACTGACGAATCGCAAACGATCAGAACTAATGAAAGCGACAATACTTAGATACACAAGTAACACCGCGAAGAAAAACGCAGTTACGAGTAACACAGTAACGAGAAGTTATCAGTATAGCATTCAAATCACGAAGCATTCAAGGGACTCACTCGAGAGTCAACTTAAAATTATCTCGGACACAATCAAGAGTCATTACAACTAGGTTAGGGTCATTAAGTCCTTGACAATAACCAGCGTCTCGCTACACCGTCGAGAACATCAGCGTAGCCGGGATTTATGACCCCGATCAAATTCTAACCGCGATGATATCCTGTTTATACATGGGATAATTATGTACAATAATTAAATATAAAGAAAAACTACAATAGTATTAACGTTAATGAAAAATATAGAGAATAATAATAATTGGTCGTAATATAATTAAGACCTATAGATAAATAAATCCCGAAAGTTTTTCGCTGGTATATTTTTCCTAGGGGACAACGAGTGAGAGAATGAATCCATTGATTAGTCTCGCTTTTCTATAGCCAGCGTCGAAGATGTTATAGCCCAAGGTCACGCCGAGTCTTTTCCCCCACCACGTTTCTCCAGTTAGAATTGGTACTACGTTAGATTATGTGCACATTCGATTTCGTATTAATTTCCCGACTTTTATTTTTCAATTTCAATTGTAATTTTTAAATTCACACATTTCTGCCATGTTAAATTGTCGGTAAATCATAAAAATATTCTCGTCTATGACTATTGGAAATGCTCTGAAGAAAAGCAGCATGATCCAACGTCTAATCGATACCAAAAAAACGTCTCGCTTCCCTCTCGAAGGACCTCTCCAAACTCTGACCCTTAATTTACCTTTATTTTACTACACGACACCATCTCTGGAGGATTTTCTACTGCGATTCCCATTCCGGTTACTTTTCGCCTAGCCATCGATTCCTAACCGTAGACGCCACTTCGAACTACCCTCCGGTATCTTTGATAGAATCCAGTAGGTAGTTAACCACCCATCGCCACCGCGAATTCTCCTTTCTCCTCTGCTTTTCTTCCCCCTAGCCCTCGGGGAATTATGCACAAGAAAAATATAAAGGATATCCCAGAACTGTACGTCAATAAAAACCCTAGTGAGAGCGATACGAGAAAACGTTTTTTTAATAATAATACAAAATCGTCTGCTCCTGGATTTCCATTGGAATTTTAAAATCGAAGAAATTGGAATCGATCTTAAATAAAAGTAGAGATCGTTCGTTCTTCTGAAATTTCCCTGTGCTTGTTTTTCTTTATCATATTTAGTTTCAAAAAATTCTCGAAATATCTCACGAGAGCGTGAAAATAAAGGAAGGAAAAGTATCGATAAGATACGTCTTTTGTTACCACACGGAAATGTTTTACGTCAACGATAACCGTTATCCAGGCCCTGAAATTCGTCGCCATCCTGTGAAGAACGATGCTACCCCTGGTTTCCCCTTATCTATCCACCCGATTCACAATCGAAGGCTTCGAAGGTGCGATCTTACGAACAGATCGTCTAACTTTTAAGCTGTCGTGCGTCAACGTCGAACACGCGACTATGTGCTATTTTCTAAAGAGAGAATAAGAGAGAGAGACATCGTCGAGTTTAATGCATTATTCCACTCGTTTAATCTCGAACTAAACCGAAGGATTCAACCATTTCGTTCTCGAGACTTCACAGAGACTAAGAAAAAGGAGAAATTTATAAGTCGTCATTGTATTCTGATTTCCTTGTCTCTTCCTGTTCGATCGAATTCTTATTTAGCTTCTGATAGGGTGCTCGAGATTCCGTCGAGGATTAAATTCGACTCAGGATATTACGATTTGCCTTTGCTTCGGTGCCTTTACGGGTTTTCATTGTCTCAGGCTGTGAGAATCGCAGGAAATAGGAGTTTCGATTCACTTGTATTTATTTAGAGAGGTAAAACGGAATTGGTTTTCTTGAGTTTTTGCTTCTAGGATAATAGACGCTATACCTTGAGAACTAATCGATAGATTTGCTTGAAATTTTGCCTGGATATTCGTACAAGCAACCCTGTGTAGCAACTGTTCATTTCATTTTCCTCAATATTACACTTCGAAATAGAGAGCTAATCGTTCGAGGAAAGTCTGTATTACCTTATTCCCAAAAATCTTGTCTCCTATCGGTAGCGATATCTCCCACAATTACTATTACACTTTAATAAAACAAAATATTAACACGTACTCCGTGAATGTATCTTTCAACTGCAATAAAAATTATTTAATTTCCATTCACGATTTTTCCCCCAAAAATTCTCAAAGTTGTATCACATTTTCTTAGCCCCCAAGTTATTTTTCCACATTTTCCAAACTTTCTCCTAACAGAATGTTCCGTCCATCCGACGGAATATACATGCTATTATATTTTTCTGCTTCATCAGATTGCCAAAGTATTCCTTTTCTCCTAATGAGAACATTGTTCGACATTCAAGCATTGTCACAATTGAGAGGATTAACGCTCAGTGACACAATAAGGTTGTTCACGACATGGATTAGAGCATCCTAGTTTCGTGCTCGTTAACACCTTGCCATAAAGCCTTTCTTTATGGTTTTCGACACCGCGGGACACCACGAATCCTAGTGGTAGCCTACCTGCCTCGAATCAGGTCCCGTAACCTTTGGGCTCTTTCTCCCACTAGCGCACTACCGCGCTTTCCCTTTCCTTCGAAATTTGGGAAAAGTTGTAGCTGCACCCGCACCAATCGGAACGATTTGGAGTTTCGTCTCCCACCAAAATCAATCCACCAATTACCGCTTTGCTTTGGCAATGAAACCAAAATATATTACCACCCTTCCAAAGCTCCTTTCTCATTAACCATTTATCGCTTTCTTCGCAACCCTCATAAAAAGTCACGGAACAAAGCGTTCTCCCATCCTCAGGTCAGCATCATTGTTCGCCAATAGGCGGGCAAGAACACACCTTCCACTTAGCATTCTCCTATTCTCGATGGGGGAGGAAATTAGTTCCTTTGACGATCTTCGAGGACGTTTGTCCGCGAGAAAAGCCGATTATCGGTTGTAAACGTGCTACCTTTACAAACTTGAACAGTCGAATCCCACCACCCCTTTTTCAATCGTCGTTTTCGTCGATCGCGACAGACGTTTCCCTTCAATGGCTTTCTCCAACGATAATCTAATTACCCCGTCAAGATAATCGAGGACCGACTCGTTGGAACGAGCCATGATCACGCCAGTTTAATCGCGTATTTAATCTCCTAGGCGTGTTCGAACGCCTGAATTCACGAATCTGAGCGTTAAAAGTTCGAGAGAAAACGGGACTTGGATAATATAGCTGGTGTTTATTGAAGGTGCAACGCCTGCAAGGAATGCGAAAGTTTTCGTTTGACCTATTAGGAAGTGAAAGAAGGGGTATCGAAAGTTGATACGCGAGTGTTTTTGGAAGGCGCCTGCGAGCACGACGAGTTTATATAGAATCGAGGCGTAAAGAAGCGTTCTCGAGTTTCACGAGCGGGGAGAACTTTTATTAGGGAATACTGGGAGGATTGCGAGTGGAATTGAGAGAGGATATTCGAACCCTAATTCTTGCGATATTCTGGTTATTTGATACTTTGGAAAATAATGAAACGCCAGTGTCTGTTATCGAGAAAGTTTCACGTAGCAGGTCCTTTTATTTGGTGACAGAGCCGATTGATTTAGATCGAATAATACGAATCTTAATTATTGTGGGATTCTATTTGTTTCGATATTTTCAAGTTTTTATTCTATGTGGAACCAGAAGTTTGAAAATATGTCATTCGAAGCTTGATTATTTTCTTTCTTTACAAATTCCATCTAGCTGATACTTCAGGAAACAGTAAAATATTAGCGTCCTCTCAAATAAAACTCCAAACTGTAAAAAAAAATCAGAATTCTTTTGTCACTAAAAAACTGTCATTGTAAACTGATCACTGTTATCATAGAAAATTCCACATTTTTCCGGTATTGATGTCGAATAACATCGCAACGCCATTACGTATGCGTTTAATCGTTGTCAGACACC